ACACCTATAAGGATAACTTTTTGTACATTGAACTAAAGAAATCAGGCTATGTATTAATATTTTAGCTCATCTGCTATAAAGTGCCTATGAGCTTTTGGTTTTATACATAACTTCACACAATGAAAGAGTTAACCTGTTTATCACTTGAGTTAAGACACAGATATGTATGTGCAAGCAAAGAACAAGTACTAAAACCTACTGCAAACATTTGGCGTATCAGGGGCTATTCACTCTATAACAAACCTACTAATAGTAACAAATTCTTTTCAAAAGATTTTAAAGGAAGCTAGACTCTGCGAGGTCACAGAGAAACTTGATAAAGAATGCGAGCTAGACTCCAAAGAAAACAAGAGAAGCAGCTAGACTCTGAACGACTCCAGAGAAGCGACTAGACTCCTAATATCCATGGAGAAGCTATAAAAGACTATGAATTGGAAACGCTAGACTCCGAAGAAGGCAAGAGAAGTCACTAGACTCTGGAGGAATCCAGAGAAGCAACTAGACTCATAGCCACCCCAGAGAATATATCTTAGATTTACCATGAGAAAACTGGCTACAGATAAAGTGAAGTAATAATCTATTTAAGAGATTGGGGGTAAAATTCCCAAAGAATTTAAAGCCAAAATGGAATGATTATGTTAGTCGACTATAATGTGGCATCTATCACTTGTCCATCAACTTTTTAAGGTCACCTGAGACAAAGTCTCAAGTGACCTATTGCGATCGCCTTTTGTCCGGTGGCGTCCAGCGTTCGTCCGTAACCAATTTACATTTTCGACTTCTTCTCCAAGACCCCTGAACCAATTTCAATGAAATTTTGCAGAAACCTTCCATGGCCAAAGGTCAACAAAAACAGTGGCCGGTTTGGTCCCAAGCCCCCAGGAGCCTGAGGGGCGGGGCCAAAAAGGGTCAAATTTACTAAAATTTTAAAAATCTTCTTCTCAAGACCCTGATATATGGTAGAATCAAGTACTCGTCATAGATGGAAGGGTTTTAAGGTGCTTTACCAAAATTGTGAATTTCTTGACCCTGGGGTGTCACGTTTCTCCCTAGGGAGGGGGTAAACTTTACAATAGTTTGTATAGGGAAATCACATTTTGGACCAACATTTGTTTAATTTCCATTGGGAGTAATTAAATTTAGGTTAGCATTATCAGTATTGGATAGCAGTTTGATGGAATGCACATATCAGCCCTGACTGATCCCTGGGGCTGATGGGTGGGGCCAAAAAGGGTCAAATTTACTGAAATTTCAAAAAAAAAATCTTCTCAAGACCCAGATATGGTAGAATCAAATACTCTTCATAGATTGAAGGGTCTAAAGGTGCTTTACCAAAATTATGAATTTCATGACCCTGGGGTCTCACGTTTCCCCCTGGGGAGGGGGTAAACTTTACTATAGTTTATAAAGGGAAATCATATTTTGGACCAACATTTGTTAGCTCACCTGACCCTACTAGTCCTGAACGGCTCAGAGGATTTTGATCAAATTTGGTCTGGAGCATCATTGGCCAAAGGGTTCTCAGTTTTGTATAAACGGTGGGTATGGTCCCCCTGGGGGCGGGGTCAAATAGGTAAATCTATAAAAATCTTCTTCTTCTCAACCAATTGAAGGATTTTGACCAAATTTGTCCTAGAGCATCTTTGGACCAAGGAGACTCAAGTTTGTATAAACAGAGGGTGTGGCCCCTCTGGGGGCGGAGGGGCGGTGCCCAATAGGGGAAATAGAGAATTTGTTTTCTCCTACTAAACAAGTGAAGGGATTTAAACCAAATGCAGTCTGAAGCATGATTAGGGACAAAAGAATCAATTTTGTTTAAACTGGGGTGTGTGAACCCCCTTCTTTGGGGCAGATGAGTGGACCCATTAGGGGAAATAGAGGAAAACATTGTTCTAGAGAATCTTTGGGCAAAGGGAATTGAATATTTATAAATGGTCTTATACATTTATAATTTATAAACCAGGCAGAGGAGCAGAGCCCAATAGGGGAAATAGAGAAAAATATTTTCCCTTCTGTACAAATGAAGGGATTTAAACCAAATGTGGTCTGAAGCATGCTTAGGGGAAAAAAACTCAGTTTGTTTAATTTGTATAAAAAGGTGCATGTGAGGCCCAATAGGGGAAAAAGAGGAAAATTGGGACATAACATGGAAACTCATTTTCTTGGTGTCTTTCCCACCAAAACAGATTTATATGTAGTTCTTCTTGCAACTTTGTTTCTTGTACCCTTTGATAAACCTGAATGGTGGTACTCAGCAGGTTTTAAATTGAAAAATAAAATACCAGGTGAGCTATTAAGGCCCATGGACCTCTTGTTTAATTTCCATTGGTAGTAATTCAATTTAGGTTAGCACTATCAGTATTGGGTAGCAGTTTGATGGTATGCACGTGCATATGAGCCCTGACTGATCCCCCGGGGCTGATGGGTGTGGCCAAAAAGAGTTGAATTGACTGAAATTTCAAAAATCTTCTTCTCAATACCAAGATATGGTAGAATCAAATACTCTTCATAGATGGAAGGGTCTTAATGTGCTTTACCAAAATTGTGAATTTCTTGACCCTAGGGTCTCACGTTTCCCCCTAGGGAGGGGGTTAACTTTACTATAGTTTATATAGGGAAATCACATTTTGGACCAACATTTGTTTAATTTCCATTTGAAGTAATTCAATTTGGGATAGCATTATCAGTATTGGATAGCAGTTTGATGGTATGCATATATCAGCCCTGACTGACCCTCCGGGGCTGATGGGTGGGGCCAAAAAGGGTTGAATTGGTGACAAAATTTATTAATGTTTATACAGTTGTGTGACATTGCGCACATCGTCCACACATGGTGCGCACGACTGTGCGATGTAACAATCGATCGCCTCGTTGTGCGCTTCTCTCCGCACAATTGTGCGATTTGGTATCATTTGTAGATCAAAATTACGGAATGACAAAAATACGGAAGGTACGTGTATATATCCGTAATTTCTCATCGCAATAATCAAGTTTATACAATTTTACAATGCGTGTTACACAGTATTACAGCGACCGTTAGGCTGTCAAGAATGGCTTTGGCTCCAAGGTAACAGAACAGGTAAATAACAATTTGATGAGTGTCTGGAGTTTTACCTGGCCTGTGCCTGACACACAGAGCTGACCGTAATGAATAGTATTTGTTATTTGCATTCGTTTGCCTATAGCTCCCCATCACCTGGATTTTCACACAACCGGCCTTACCCGACAAGTTACGTAAGTGCATGCCCAAGGCAGGGGAGAAACTACAGTCCAGGTACATGTACAAAGTGGTTATGTTTACCTGTATTCGGGATTGTGTTGTAATTTTACATGTGTCGATTCAGTTTGTTTAAAAACACCGAAAGACACAATTTCTAAACATAAGAATGTATAGACAGAAATATAAGTTTATAGATGTCGTTAGAATATAGAAACATACGTAAAAATCAAGTTTATATGTTTAAACACGAAACCGTATAAATTGTTAAGCCATTCCTCAATTTACACCAACCACGATTGTTATCGCACAATGTTCGTCCATCGTGCGCACAGATGTGTGCAAGCAATGATCGTCAAGCTTTTTATCGTTCGCCCATCATGCACACACTGTTCACACACCGCACATCGTGTAACGTTGTGCAATCCCACAACTGAAATGGCAAATGATACTTTGAATATTACATGTTAATAACTTGATTGGAATTATAACCCTGAGTTGACAGTTTGATACTTTAAAAAAATTGAGCCAGCCCTACCCCCAAGGGCTGTATAGTGGGGCCCAAAGGAGTCACTGTGCTAAAATTTCTTCATTTTCCTTGTTTAGAATCAGAGGTGCTAGTTTCAAATACTTTTTAGTCTTAAATCTGTATGCTAGATATTGAATAAGGTGGTTTTATTGTTGTTGTCACTTTGAATAATATTTTTGTTCATGTTAAAAACAAAATCAACTCTCTGTATAAATATATCAGGTGACCGTTAAGGCCCATGGGCCTCTTGTTTTTTTGACAAGCCTCTTAAGAACAGAAAGAAGGGCCACGCTATTTGGTCCCTGGCTGCCTGGGATACAGTGCTATATAGGTTATAGGGGTCTAAAAGATTTAAAATTTCAAACGTTTAGATGTTCTAGAGCAATGGTATTTTAGTAAGTTATGAAAACCAGCTAGGCAAATTTATTTGGGAAGTTATTGTATAGGTGTCAAAGGACAAGAGGGCTGGATGGGATCAAAGTGAACATATAGTCTGTTACGGTTAAAAGCTTTTAAGATACTGGGGTGAAGTGCTATACTTTCCTTAAATCCATTATTGCTCAAACAATATTTGATGTATCACTGTGTCTTGCTAGAATATGCCGCTCTACTCTACTTAGGCACTTTACAATACATTGATATGACGGTTCATATAGTCCGTCATACAATCAATACAATTTGATAATTTCTCAGGAGCTGTCTTATCAGGCAAAATCCACTGGTCCTTTGCCACCTTGCTAATACCTCCACAGGTGCACCCTTAATGTATTTTGGATGTGTGTAGCGAAACTGGACTGGGTCGATCGTCGGCGACTAGATAGCTCAATTGGTAGAGCGTCCGTCTAGAGTTTGGAGGGTCCGAGTTTCTAACCCTGGTCTGGCCGTGCATTTTTCCTCTCCTGTTACAGTGGTTTATGTGACCAACGCTTGTTTCAAGCATTTGGTGTATGCTTGACAAGGAATACCTGAGCCTGGGTTGTAAATAGTTGTGTCTTCAGGGTTCAAGAATCCTTACTGTGGAAAGTATATATAAGGCACATATGGCTGATATGCATATAAAAAAAAAAATCATGGAAAGTTTATATACTGTATGATAGTGACAGTATTTAACATACCTGGTACATGTGTAGACAGTGCTGTATAACAAAGGGTATTATATACCGTATTTGGGTGACAATTGATCAGATAATCTGTTGCATTGAACTATGGCCTGGTCAATTGTAAGGTCGGCCTTGAACGACACAGACAGTATGTAAACAACAGGCAGTGGGGTACATACAGGAGGTACATGTACCCGGATTTGAACACTTATTGCTAGACTTTGGGCAATTTACCTGAGAGTACCTCGCTAGGACTACTAAAAATCATTAGTTATAATTATATAAAGTGCACTCACTGAATCCACAGGTGATTGAAGATACAAATACGACAGTACAGGTACCGTACACAGCTACCTACCTGTTTATCTACACTCAACCAGTGTATTGCTGAACTTTCTGTTTGTAACTGGGTGGGGTAGTGCTCAGTGTGCCCTAACCTAATGCCGGTGAAGTGATATTTCAACTCCTGACATTTGTGTACTTAATGACAATGGTTAAATGTGTGATGTCTAGCCTGTCTGACAGTTTGCATTGCTACATATTGATAAACATGGAATACTCAGATAGGTATACGTAGCAGTCAGGTGCTAAATATTGGTACTACCCAGACAGTGGTTAGCTGCTGGTACTACCCAGACAGGTAATAGTCATTTGACTACCTGTATTCTCACCTGTGCTGACTGTTTCCTACAAATGTGACGTTATTTTGGACACAGAAATGATCTACACATATCTGTATGTCTTGTCATGCAGTTACAAGGTTTCTAAATATAACAAGTGGAAACTGGTTTGTAAGTAAATTACAGCAGTGTATTATAGCGAGGACCAGGATGTGATACTAGTCAAGTGTTACCTGGTGTGATAAACGTGTGATATGTCATTCAGGTTTCCTCCGGATCCCCACAATTTAGATTCTACCTATTTCTGGATTATAGATGGAGCTGATGACTGAAGATCACTACCAGATAAAATTACATGGTTGGAAAGAACATTTAGAGTATGTTGATATTACAAACGTTCGGTTATGACATACTGTGGATTAGTGAATAATCAGTGCTAGTTACTTAGTTGAGAATCTGTATCATTGGGATTTCAGAACAGACAAAAGTACTATAAAACCTGTCCACACGTACGTGAGGTGAATTATGAAATACATCCAAGGGATTACAGCTGACTTATGGGGCTATGTGCTAACGTCACATAAACAGATTTGTTACATTGGACTAATTTGAAACCAAATACAGAGGTGATTTGTCAGAAAATAATCTGTATTGCAAAATCTACTTTAAAAAAAAACCAAGATGGCAGACAACTCTGGTCTACACCGATCTGTGATAGTCCATCGTTCCTTTCCTGGCTTCCATGCCAGAAATGCTATGTCGATGGCCTTGGAAGATATGCCGCCACGTCCTAGGTCTGTCAGCCATGACGCAGACCTTGACCACAGTGATGATGTCCACCACAACGTCCAGGACATCAACAAGTTCGAAAACAACTGGGAGGATCTTGATGCTGAATTTGAAGCTAAAGACAATACTTGGGAAAGCAGCCATGTAAAACCGGACACATGGGAAACAAACGAGGCTGAAAAGGTCAAACAACAAAGCAACAAAATCCAAGAGAATGCAGCAGAAAAACCGGAAAATGAACCAGATTTATGGGATGCTGAAAAAGATGCCTGGGACATGAACAAAAGTGAAGATGTTAATTGGGAAGATCCCATTGTTCAACACCACAGGGCAGAAAGGAGTGAAACTTATAAACTGTTTGATAATAAAGGTAATGGTTCCCACATTATAGAAACTGTCAGTTTTCCCTTTTCCGACAGCTAACAAACATGTAAATGTATGTCACAGTTAGAACAGAAGGGCATGTTGTACTTATCAGCTATGGACTTTTGTTTAAGTGGATATAAGGTTCTCTGAACCTGAAATAGTGATATTAACAGAGACGAAGTTGAAATCATTATCACTTTTCAGATTCAGATAACATATTTATTAAATAATTGTTCTTAATTGTTATATTAGATATAATGTTTTTAGCTCACCTAGCACAAGGTGTCTGTAAGCTTATTGTCAACCATCGTTTGTCCATTGTCCATCATTTTTTTCTTTAAATGATTTAAGAACTTGAAGACCTAGGGTCATGATATTTTGCCAGTGGGTACAGGGGATGGAGTGCTAAAAACTTTCCTCAGCTATAAAACCTTGACCTAATTTCAAAATCACAAGGGTCAAATGTCAAGAACTAAGAAAATAAGAACTTGAGGACCTGGGGCAATTATAGTTGGCCAGAAGGTATCTGGCATAGAGTGCTATAAACATTTTCCCATAAATGACCTACAAAAATGTAGATTTAATTCCATGGTCATATGTGTCAAATAAATAAAAAAAATCTTTAAAGATTTTCTTTTGAATAACCAGGAGGCCCAGGTTTATGATATTTAGCCAGTAGGTACCTGGGATGTATAGTGCTAAAAGTTTCTTCAAATGAATGACCTTGACCCTGTTGAAGTTCACAGGGTCAAATGTGGTAAAAGCTTTGAACGACTTCTTCTGAATAACTTAGACACAAATGTTGATGCTATTTGGCCAGAACCATGCTGTGGTGTGGTACTTTCCACAAATAAATAACCTTGACATACTTTCAAGGTCAAAGGCATAAAATAATTTTGTGTAAACAAATCCTTATCCATAAGCGGGCCCCCGAGCTCTGGCTGATGATATTTGACCAGTAGCATGCTGAGATAGAAAAGTCTGAAGTATTCTCCAGCTTATGACCTTGACCTACCTTTTAAGGTCACAGGAATCGAACGTGAAAAAATATTTAAATAAAATCTTCATTATAACGAATACTGCCATCAAAGAAATGACATTGACCTAGTTCACCAAATTTAGTATGAAATATCCTTGGACCAAGAGGACTCAACGTTGTATAAACAGAGAGTCTGGCTACCCAAAATGCAACAGGACAGGGCTCAATAGAGGTAACCAGAGAAAAACCTTTAAATTTTTCCTTCAGTACAGATTATGTAATCTCAATCATTAAGTCTGGAATGGTCTTAAGCCAAGGAGCCTCTGGGCCTCTTGTTATCATCAGGCAAGCTGGAATGGGCAGAGAACATTGTGACATTACAATCAAAGTGACCTCACAAAGAAAATGTTGATGTGCTGTTACTAAAAATAGTAAAATGGAGTCAATACCACAAACCACCAACCTTCAGTTGATTATGATTCCACCGTTGATTATGATTCCACCGTTGAAGATGGAGGTGTTCTCAAGGGTCAGCATGTACAGGTATACCATCTAGTTGATTATGATTCCACCGTT